TTACTAAATTTTACGATCACTTTAGCTTAGTGATTTTGTATGAGCCTGTATAGATAATGAACTTTTGACTTGATTGTAAAGCAGTTTAACAGAAAACGCCCCTCCCCCAGTGGCACAGCGGTATGTCTGCGGACTTACAACGCTAGAATCCGGGTTTCGATACCCGTGGTGGGCAAAGCACAGATAGCCCATTGTGTAGCTTTGTGCTTAATTACAAACAAACAGAAAATGTGAATATGATCTGCCAGAATAGTAAAAAGAAAACAAAATATTTATATTTTAATGGCAAATAAAGCTCATCTCACAAAAATTTATTTCCCTTTAAAAATTATAATGAAACTAAAAAAAAACGTATTTACACCTGTAAAAAAAGTAACTTTGTCCTGAAGTACTTCAATGTATTTTTCTTCTATTCTTTTCTTGGACTGATATTTCATTAACTTTCAAACTAGAGAAAATATTACTGACAAAGTTCACATTGAACGGTTTGTGTGTGCGTAATGGGGATTTGTTTTTATTCCTTGAATAGATATTAGGTAATTTATTAAGAGGTCGCGGCGACTATCTGTATTATAAAGAAAGCATGTTATGCAGATGTTTATATCGCATTTTTCTTAGTTAATACTTTACATATATATAATTCAAAAGAAAACATGTTTAAGCTAGCATTTCACTTCTGCTTTTGTTTAATACATGACTGCCAAGAAGCCTTTTGTTTAACGTCAGATCCTGCAAGGCCCCCCAGAGGCACCGATCTTGCAAGGGTGCCTTGACTATTACGCAGACTATGCAAAAAATAGTAAATGTATTTTAAAAAGAACAGAAAGAAAATAAAACTATAAACTGATGGTTCACTAAATTGTCTTTAAATAAACTTCAAGATTATAAAAGCCTGAAATCAACTCCCACTATTCGGTCTGACAAGAGTAGCCCAACAGATGGTGTAGACTAGCTGCCTTTACTCTATCTAATCAATTACTTCAAAAGAAGGGACGTCTAGCGCAGACAGTCCTCATGTAGCTTCTTGCGAAATTGGCTGTTTAACGTCAAAGTAAAATCGTCTATCTAAAATTAAGGAGTCGCACACGCAGGCAACAGGTGACTCATGTAAAGTGTATGCTAAGTAAAGTTAAATGCAGTTTTAAAATGTTCGGAAAATGGTGATAAATAGAGAAGCTCTCCTCATTATGAAACGTCCAAAACAGGAAATGACGTTAAAGTTTGCATTATGTGAAGCTTGACTAAAACCTTGTCCATCTCGTACTGTCAATTTCTGGCCATTCCCGAAATGTTAAATAATTAAATATAAAGACATTGTAATGAAATGTACACTATATATATAATTCTGGCACAAGGAATAAATATTTCGTCGTTAAGTTGTTGTTTGTAATTAAGCACAAAGCTACAGAATGGGCTATCTGTGCTCTGCCCACCACGGGTATCGAAACCCGGACTCTAACGTTGTAAGTCCGTAGCCATACCACTGGGGGCCTTATAGGGAGGAGGGTAACCAGTCTACAATACTCCCCATGAATATATGAAAGAAACAATCTCATTCCGCATACCTAATAATAACTCTTCAAATAACTCTG